AATGTCGTGCAAGCCAACAACAACAACCATAAGACAATTTGGATTAAACATATGTTTTCGAATCAGCAAAATAAAGCTAAGAAAACAATGTAACAACAGTAATCATAGGAACTGTGAATTTAAATTTAACAATAAACGACATACATAACACGGGCGACAAAAACACTGCAGCCATAGCTGGCAGAACGACACTCCCAGTCTATGATGTGTGAGTGAGTGGTAGTGTGAGTGAGTGTATGATGTGTGAATCAGTGTATGATGTGTGAGTGAGTCAGTGTATGATGTGTGAGTCAGTGTATGATGTGTGAGTGAGTCAGTGTATGATGTGTGAGTCAGTGTATGATGTGTGAGTGAGTCAGTGGTAGTGTGAGTGAGTGTATGATGTGTGAGTGAGTCAGTGTATGATGAGTGAGTGAGTCAGTGTATGATGTGTGAGTTAGTGTATGATGTGTGAATGAGTCAGTGTATGATGTGTGAGTGAGTCAGTGTATGATGTGTGAATGAGTCAGTGTATGATGTGTGAGTGAGTCAGTGTATGATGTGTGAGTGAGTCAGTGTATGATGTGTGAGTGAGTCAGTGCATGGTGTGAGTGAGTCAGTGTATGATGTGTGAGTGAGTCAGTGTATGATGTGTGAGTGAGTCAGTGTATGATGTGTGAGTGAGTCAGTGTATGATGTGTGAGTGAGTCAGTGTATGATGTGTGAGTGAGTCAGTGTATGATGTGTGAGAGTGTCAGTGTATGATGTGTGAGTGAGTCAGTGTATGATGAGTGAGTCAGTGCATGGTGTGAGTGAGTCAGTGTATAATGTGTGAGTGAGTCAGTGTATGATGTGTGAGTGAGTCAGTGTATGATGTGTGAGTGAGTCAGTGTATGATGTGTGAGTGAGTCAGTCCATGATGTGTGAGTGAGTCAGTGTATGATGTGTGAGTGAGTCAGTGTATGATGTGTGAGTGAGTCAGTGTATGATGTGTGAGCGAGTCAGCAGCAGAGTGAGTGAGTGTATGATGTGTGAGTCAGCGTATGATGTGTGAGTTAGTGTATGATGTGCGAGTCAGTGTATGATGTGTGAGTCAGTGTATGATGTGCGAGTCAGTGTATGTGTGAGTTAGTGAATGATGTGTGAGTTAGTGCATGATGTGTGAGTGTATGATGTGAGTCAGCGCACGATGTGTTAGTCAGGGCATGATGAGTGAGTCAGTGTATGATGTGCGAGTGTGGGTGACTCCCTCCACTAATGGTGGTGGTGAAAAGTTTGGGTGACTCCCTCCTCTTGGTGGTGGTGGTGGTTGTGGGGTAAAGTGTGGGTGACTCCCTCCTCTTGATGGTGGTGGGGTAAAGTGTGGGTGACTCCCTCCTCTGGTGGTGGTGTAAAGTGTGGATGACTCCCTCCTCTTGGTGGTGGTGGTGGGGTAAAGTGTGGGTGACTCCCTCCACTTGGTGGTGGTGGTGGTGGGGTAAAGTGTGGGTGACTCCCACCTCTTGATGGTGGTGGTGGTGGTGTAAAGTGTGGGTGACTCCCTCCTCTTGGTGGTGGTGGTGGTGGTGTAAAGTGTGGGTGACTCCCTCCTCTTGATGGTGGAGGTGGGGTAAAGTGTGGGTGACTCCCTCCTCTTGGTGGTGGTGATGGTGGTGGTGTAAAGTGTGGGTGACTCCCTCCTCTTGGTGGTGGAGGTGGGGTAAAGTGTGGGTGACTCCCTCCTCTTGGTGGTGGTGATGGTGGTGGTGTAAAGTGTGGGTGACTCCCTCCTCTTGGTGGTGGTGGTGGTGTAAAGTGTGGGTGACTCCCTCCTCTTGGTGGTGGTGGGGTAAAGTGTGGGTGACTCCCTCCTCTTGGTGGTGGTGGTGGTGTAAAGTGTGGGTGACTCCCTCCTCTTGGTGGTGGTGGTGGTGTAAAGTGTGGGTGACTCCCTCCTCTTGGTGGTGATGGTGGTGGTGTAAAGTGTGGGTGACTCCCTCCTCTTGGTGGTGGAGGTGTAAAGTGTGGGTGACTCCCTCCTCTTGATGGTGGTGGTGGTGGTGTAAAGTGTGGGTGACTCCCTCCTCTTGGTGGTGGTGGTGGTGGTGTAAAGTGTGGGTGACTCCCACCTCTTGGTGATGGTGGTGGTGTAAAGTGTGGGTGACTCCCTCCTCTTGGTGGTGGTGGTGTAAAGTGTGGGTGACTCCCTCCTCTTGGTGGTCGCTGCGTGCCGAACCACGGATCCAAAACAACTCCCAAAAACCACTTTCGAATTTCTGACATTTTATTCTTTTCGTGAATTACCGAGCCACAGCGGCAGCAACAGCGGCGGCGGCGGCGACGCCTGCACGCAAAATCACACAACACGGCCCGTCTCCCCCAAGCTCCCGCGCGTAACATTCGGGGGCGAGGGTCGCGTCGTTAGCTGCGCCGACAAAGCAAGTTTCCCGTAGGCTCAGTCTCGACCATGACAGCGCGGAGCGAGCGCTCCCGGGGGGGCTAGGCGGGTTCGCCACCAACCTCCCTCTCTCCTCCCTACCCACCCACCCTACCCACCCTACCCACCCGAGTTCGATTCAACCATCGTGGCCACGGTTACCATCCCCGGCATTGGGGGAGACGGAGGCAGCAGGGAGTGGCGGCGATTGTAGTGGCGATGCGCGAGACACCATCCTCCTCATTAAGCGACGCTATTGGTCGGCGACACTTGCGCCCCCACGCCTCAGCGTGGGCTACCTGGGGGGGATCTGTGCACGTGGCGCTCACCAAGTGCCGCTAAACTTGCCCCTCACGATCTGCGTGGGCTACCTGGGGGATCTTTGTTGTGCGTGTGTGGTCTGCGTAGCGGCCGCCAATCGTTATTCTTGGTTCTTTCGGTAAAGTCACCACGTAGAAGGGAAACAATAAAATAATAAAAACATAAAACAATTGGTTTCACGGCACTTGCCCCTCATTATTGTTTTCATGTTTTTATTATTTCATTGTTTCCCTTCTACGTGGTGGTGACTTTACCGAAACAACCAAGAATATGAATCCCCGCAGTCACGAAAGCTTTAAATCAACATTTAGGCTGCCCATTGGTTTAACGGCACTTGCCCCCTACGATCTGCGTGGCTTACCTGGGGGATCTTTGCACGTGGCTCTCATTAAGCGGTATTGGTTAACAACACTTGCCCCTTACTATCTGCGTGGTTTACCTGGGGGATCGTTGCACGTGGCTCTCATTAAGCGGTATTGGTTAACAACACTTGCCCCCTACGATCTGCGTGGCTTACCTGGGGGATCGTTGCACGTGGCGCTCATTAAGCAGTATTGGTTAACAACACTTGCCCCTTACTATCTGCGTGGTTTACCTGGGGGATCGTTGCACGTGGCTCTCATTAAGCGGTACTGGTTAACAACACTTGCCCCCTACGATCTGCGTGGCTTACCTGGGGGATCTTTGCACGTGGCTCTCATCAAGCAGTATTGGTTAACAACACTTGCCCCTTACTATCTGCGTGGTTTACCTGGGGGATCTTTGCACGTGGCTCTCATTAAGCGGTATTGGTTAACAACACTTGCCCCCTACGATCTGCGTGGCTTACCTGGGGGATCGTTGCACGTGGCGCTCATTAAGCAGTATTGGTTAACAACACTTGCCCCTTACTATCTGCGTGGTTTACCTGGGGGATCGTTGCACGTGGCTCTCATTAAGCGGTACTGGTTAACAACACTTGCCCCCTACGATCTGCGTGGCTTACCTGGGGGATCTTTGCACGTGGCTCTCATTAAGCAGTATTGGTTAACAACACTTGCCCCTTACTATCTGCGTGGTTTACCTGGGGGATCTTTGCACGTGGCTCTCATTAAGCGGTATTGGTTAACAACACTTGCCCCCTACGATCTGCGTGGCTTACCTGGGGGATCGTTGCACGTGGCGCTCATTAAGCAGTATTGGTTAACAACACTTGCCCCTTACTATCTGCGTGGTTTACCTGGGGGATCGTTGCACGTGGCTCTCATTAAGCGGTATTGGTTAACAACACTTGCCCCCTACGATCTGCGTGGCTTACCTGGGGGATCTTTGCACGTGGCTCTCATTAAGCAGTATTGGTTAACAACACTTGCCCCTTACTATCTGCGTGGTTTACCTGGGGGATCTTTGCACGTGGCTCTCATTAAGCGGTATTGGTTAACAACACTTGCCCCGCCAAGGGCGGCGTGTCTCCCTGGGGGATCTAAGAGCACTTGAGCCGACACAAGCCGCTGTTAAGGCTACACAGGGAGCGGAGGATGATGAGTGGTCGTGTGATCTTCGTCTAAGTTTGTCCGACAGGGCACAGAAAAGCTATTGGGGGGGGTGGTGTGTGGGGGGGTGGTGGTGGTCTGTGTGGGGGTGGTGGTGGTGTGTGGGGGGTGGTGGTGGTGTGTGGGGGGGTGGTGTGTGTGGGGGTGGTGTGTGTGGGTGGTGTGTGTGGGGGTGGTGGTGTGTGTGTGGGTGGTGTGTGTGGGGGTGGTGGTGTGTGTGTGGGTGGTGTGTGTGTGTGGGTGGTGTGTGTGGTGGTGGTGTGTGTGGGGGTGGTGTGTGTGTGGTGGTGGTGGTGTGTGTGGGGGTGGTGGTGGTGTGTGTGTGGGGGGGTGGTGGTGGTGTGTGTGTGGGGGGTGGTGGTGGTGTGTGTGGGGGTGGTGTGTGGGGGTGGTGGTGGTGTGTGGTGGTGGTGTGTGGGGGTGGTGTGTGTGGGGGTGGTGGTGGTGTGTGTAGGGGTGGTGTGTGTGGGGGGGTGGTGTGTGTGGGGGGGTGGTGTGTGTGGGGGTGGTGGTGGTGTGTGGGGGTGGTGTGTGTGTGGGGTGGTGTGTGTGGGGGTGGTGTGTGTGGGGGTGGTGTGTGTGTGTGTGGTGGTGTGTGTGGTGGTGGTGGTGTGTGTGGGGGTGGTGTGTGTGTGGTGGTGTGTGTGGTGGTGGTGGTGTGTGTGGGGGTGGTGTGTGTGTGGGTGTGTGTGGGGGGTGCCCACCCTCCCTACCTACCCCCCCCCACCCCACGGGATTCGGTTCGCCAGCGAGGACAAAATCGGTGAGGCGTGCGCCGGCCGCGAGAGATCGTGGCTACGGGAAATCGGTAGCTGCGACATCGTAGCTTTGCAACCGTAGCCACGTGATCGTAGAGCCACGTGATCGTAGAGCCACGTGATCGCAGAGCCACGTGATCGCAGAGCCACGTGATCGTAGAGCCACGTGATCGTAGAGCCACGTGATCGCAGAGCCACGTGATCGTAGAGCCACGTGATCGTAGAGCCACGTGATCGCAGAGCCACGTGATCGCAGAGCCACGTGATCGCAATCAGCGGGGAAGCGAGCGCCGAGTGCGTCCGCTGGGCGGGAATTTGCCGATTGGCGGAGGGGTGCCTGGGTTTAGCGGCGTCCATTATGGAAGGGGGCGGGGCCAGGTGGGCGGGGCCAGGGGGGCGGGGCCAGGGGGGGCGGGGCCAGGGGGGGCGGGGCCAGGGGGGGCGGGGCCATGGGGGGCGGGGCTATCGGGGTTCAGCTCTGGGCCAGGCCGATGACACCGCAGGCCTGGCGCCCCCCGGCGTTTCCCGTCTTCTTGCTCTCCTCGTCGTTCCCGCGGCCCAGGTCGTCCTCTTTCTCGTGCACCGGGGGGGGGGCAAGGCGGGGGGCGGGGGAGTGGGTCAGCGGAGGGGTCAGCGGAGGGGTCAGCGGAGGGGTCAGCGGAGGGGTCAGCGGAGGGGTCAGCGGAGGCGCGAGTGGAGTCAGCGTGACAGCGAGTGGAGGAGGGGCGAGTGGAGGGGCGAGCGGGTGAATGAGCGAGCGGGTGAGCGAGTGAGCGGGTGAGCGAGCCATTGTGCGAGCGGCCGGGAGAGCCAGCGAGCCAGCGAGCGTGACTGGGTGGATGGGTGGGCGAGTGGATGGGTGGAAGCTACCTGCTCATTGGTTTTTTCGGTAAAGTCACGTGTGTAGAAATACAATTAAATTACGTTAAAACAAAAAAAACAATCGCGACGTTTCGATCACAACGCAAGCGATCTTCATCGGGTGTCAAGAACAAATCACGGAGGTAAATAACAACAAAAAGATGAGAGACGAGAATTCAACAAACCTGGAAAAACATTATGTGAAGCACACCCAGTCAGGCCAACAACACAGTTAGACACTTCCTGGCGGACCACGAATTTCAGAAGAGTGTTAAATTTCGTGTTCAACCTTAATACTTTATTGGAAGCTACCTGGGTCTGTCGCTCCGCACTAAGCTTCAGGTCTTCTCGGCCACGGTCATTCCCTCCCTTCTCTACGCTTGCGAAACGTGGACCCCCCTAATGGAACATCTTCGCCGGTTAGAAACATTTAGGCTGGCCTGCCTATGATCCATCCTGGGTTTAACCAGGCTGGATTGTGTGAGGAGCTCACAAATCCTTGAAAGATCTGGGCAAGGTCCCATCGGTGAGCTTCTCCGGCAGGCAAGGCTGCGTTGGCTGGGTCACGTAGCCCGCATGCCCAGCCACCGCATGCCGAAACAGCTTTTGTTCGGCCGGATCGAGGGGGCTAAACGGGCGCGGCACGGGCTAGAGAAGAGATGGAGTGACGTGGTACAGGAGGATCGGCCTCTGTGGAGGAGGCTCGTGAAGGACGCTACTGGGCAGTTGGAGGCAGTCGCCCTCCAACAACAACGGAGGGCGGAGGAGCGACGCTCACAACAACGAGCGGAGCGCCGGGTGGCTAAAGCACAGCAGGTTGGCACAGTAGGGGGCACAGGTGGTGCATCAGCCACAGTCATCTCAGTCAGTCGACCCGTGGCACCTGGGTCTGCCCAGTGACCTCCTGCCGGCGGGCGTTCGACACTTCACGTGGCCTCAGGGTGCACATGGCCTGGCACAAGCGTCGTGGTGACGTCACCGCCACTTAGTGGCGAATGGCGGTCGTTGTTGCTGTTGTGAGTGTGTGAATGAGTGAGTGTGAGCCAGCGTGCGAGCCCTTACCACGACCGTGCGCCCGACGATGCTGCGTTCTCCGCACAGGGCGATGAGCGAGTCCCGGATGGTGAACTCGGCCACTCCGGCCTCGTTCGCCACGACGTTGCCCAGGTCGCCCACGTGCCTGGCCACAAACAACAAAAAAGGTCCCCCAACCACCCCACCCCGCGTAGAACGTCACCACACACCGGTTCGGGGCAAGTGCTGTTGCTTAGCAAGCAGCAGCGCCGAGACAAAGACAAAGGTCCCCCACCGTGTAGCCTCTAGCAGGGCTGTAGGGGCAAGTGCTGTTAGTAGCGAGTAGCAGCAGCTGCCTATGAACACACAAAGACAAAGGTCCCCCGTGTAGCCTCTAGCAGGCTGTAGGGGCAAGTGCTGTTAGTAGTGAGTAGCAGCAGCTACCTATGAACACACAAAGACAAAGGTCCCCCGTGTAGCCTCTAGCAGGGCTGTAGGGGCAAGTGCTGTAAGCAAGTTGCAACAGCAGCGCCGAGACAAAGACAAAGGTCCCCTGCCGTGTAGCCTCTAGCAGGGCTGTAGGGGCAAGTGCTGTAAGCAAGTTGCAACAGCAGCGCCGAGACAAAGACAAAGGTCCCCTGCCGTGTAGCCTCTAGCAGGGCTGTAGGGGCAAGTGCTGTAAGCAAGTTGCAACAGCAGCGCCGAGACAAAGACAAAGGTCCCCTGCCGTGTAGCCTCTAGCAGGGCTGTAGGGGCAAGTGCTGTAAGCAAGTTGCAACAGCAGCGCCGAGACAAAGACAAAGGTCCCCTGCCGTGTAGCCTCTAGCAGGGCTGTAGGGGCAAGTGCTGTAAGCAAGTTGCAACAGCAGCGCCGAGACAAAGACAAAGGTCCCCTGCCGTGTAGCCTCTAGCAGGGCTGTAGGGGCAAGTTCTGTTAGCGAGCAGCAGCAGCAGCAGCAGCCTATGAAGGCCGGCAGTGTGTGGCACACGAGAGCCAGGTGTAGGGGCAAGCCAACAACACCACCACCACCACCACCAACACCACCACCACCAACACCACCACCACCACCACCAACACCACCACCACCAACACCACCACCACCACCAACCACCACCACCACCACCCACCACCACCACCACCCAACACCACCACCACCATCACCACCACCACCACCACCAACACCACCACCAACACCACCAACACCACCACCACCACCAACACCAACACCACCACCAACAACACCACCACCACCAACACCACCAACACCACCAACACCACCAACAACACCACCACCAACACCACCACCAACACCACCACCAACACCACCACCACCACCAACACCACCACCAACAACAACACCACCAACACCACCACCACCAACACCACCAACACCACCACCAACACCACCACCACCACCACGCCCGGCCACCTAGTGGAGGCCCCAAGGCAGCGGTGCAGAATCACCGCCAGCCAGGCGCGGGGGTGTTGGCCGCGGGCGGGAGTCGAACCTCGGGGCGCCAGGCACGGAGCCCCCCCCGGGGGGGGAAGTGACTGGGCGCCGGGACCTCTGCGCTCACCTCTCGGCATCGTCGGGACCACCGTGGGTCTTGTTGCTGGGGTTGAAGTGGGGCCCGGCGCTGGTACAGCCTGCGCGATCACACGCGGACACACACACACACACACACGCGGACACACACACACACACACACGCGGACACACACACACACACACGCGGACACACACACACACACGCACACACACGCAGACGCACGCACAGACACGCAAACACAATCATCAAGCAATTACGCACGCGCGTACACACAAGCACGATAAATTACACACGCACGTACGCACAATCACACACGCACAGACACTAACACGCGCACAAACCAACACTCGCACGCTCGCGTAACCGCACATACCAACACACACACACACGCACGTTCGTAATGGGGGTGGGGGGGGTGGGGGGAGTGGGGGGGGTGGGAGGTCTCCCTCTGGCCCAGCATTCGACGGTTCAGAGCTACGGCCGATGTGCCGCCACCACCACCACCACCCCCACCACCATCACCACCACCACCACCACCACCATCACCCCCACCACCACCACCACCACCACCCCCACCACCACCACCCCCACCACCACCACCACCATCACCACCACCACCCCCACCCCCACCACCACCACCCCCACCACCACCACCACCCCCACCACCATCACCACCACCACCACCACCATCACCCCCACCACCACCATCACCACCACCACCACCACCACCACCCCCACCACCACCACCACCACCACCCCCACCACCACCACCCCCACCACCACCACCCCCACCACCACCACCCCCACCACCACCACCCCCACCACCACCACCACCATCACCACCACCACCACCACCCCCACCACCATCACCACCACCACCACCACCACCACCCCCACCACCACCACCCCCACCACCACCACCACCACCACCGCCGCCACCGCCACCACCCCCAACACCCCCACCACCACCACCCCCACCACCACCCCCACCCCCACCACCACCCCCACCCCCACCACCACCCCCACCCCCACCACCACCACCCCCACCACCCCCACCACCACCACCCCCACCACCACCACCCCCACCACCACCACCCCCACCACCACCACCCCCACCACCACCACCCCCACCACCCCCACCACCACCACCCCCACCACCCCCACCACCACCACCACCACCACCACCACCCCCACCACCACCACCCCCACCACCACCACCCCCACCACCACCACCCCCACCACCCCCACCACCACCACCCCCACCACCACCATCACCCCCACCACCCCCACCACCACCCCCACCACCACCCCCACCACCACCCTCACCACCACCACCACCCCCACCACCACCACCGCCACCACCCCCACCCCCACCACCCCCCACCACCACCACCACCACCCCCCCCACCACCCCCACCACCACCACCACCACCCCCACCACCACCACCACCACCCCCACCACCACCACCCCAGCCCCCAGGGGGTCTTCACCGTTGGTGTTGTCTCCGTAGGCGTGGACGTGCAGTCCGTGCTTGCCGGGGCTCAGGCCTGAGATGTGTCCCTTGACCACCACGGGTCCACAGCCCTGGCAAAGACAAACACGTGCCCCCCCCGCGTCACCACGGCAGTGAAGACTTCAACAGAGATGTCGGGGAGGCGGGGCAAAGTGCTGCGAAGCAGCAGCGCTCACACTCACACACTCACACGCACGCACGCACGTTCACACACGCACAGGCTCACGCACAGGCTCGCACACACGAACGCACAGGCTCACACACACTGACAAACTCACATACTCACACACACACACAGGCTCACGCACGCACGCAGGTTCACACGCACGCACACACACAGCCTCACGCACGCACACACACAGGCTCACGCACGCACACACACACACGAACGCACAGACTCGCACACACACACAGGCTCACGCACGCTCACACACGCACACTCATGCATATCAAGACAAAGATCCCCCGTATAACCTTAACAGACTATTGTTAGCGAGTGCTGTTAGCGAGTAGCAGCACTTACCAAGGCCGGCACGGCAAACGAGGGGCTGGGTGGCCAGCAGCACCACGCCCGGCCGCCTTTGTCTCCCCCCCGTGGCGATGTTCACTACACCGCTACAACAGGTACTCATTTGAGGCCGAGTCGACCTAAGGGAGGCCCAGGACCAGTTCTGATAATCGTCACCGGTGTTGTATATACGCATGTTGAATGTCTTTCGCACCGTACGCAGCCAACCGTGCCAAACCGGAGGTGTTAGCCGTGAGCAGGAATCGAACTCGGGTCGCCGGGTTCGTAGTGCGGATGTGCTAACTGCTGCGCCACCGCTCCCCCGTACAGCCTCAACGGGCTCTCACGGGGCAAGTGCTCTCAGTAGCAGAGGCTACGAAGGCCGGCACGGACACACGAGGGGGTGGGTGGCCAGCACCACCACCACACGCACCACCATAGCAGCACCACCACCACCCACACGCACCACCACCACCACCACCACACGCACCACCACCACCCACACAACACCACCACCACCACACACACCACCACCACACACCACCACCACACACGCACCACCACCACACACACACACACACGCACACACACACACGCACCACCACAGCAGCACCACCACCACCACACACACACGCACCACCACAGCAGCACCACCACCACACACACACGCACCACCACAGCAGCAGCACCACCACCACCCAAACGCACCACCACCACCACCACCAACCACACACACACGCACCACCACCACCCACACGCACCACACACACGCACCACCACCACACACACACCACCACCACACCACACACCACCACCCACACACACCACCACACAAATTACAACATTGTCAGAGGCAAAGAAAGCCCATGTGGGATATTCTCGCAATAACGGTCCACAGACGTTATCACAACAGATACACAGAGTCACGTGGTCTACTGGAGGCTTGAGAGCTGGTTTGGAGAGCGACAGAGAGTAAGAGAGACAGAGAGAGGGGTGTAGAGATCTCTAGATGAGATGGGAGGTTGACCACACTGCTCACTGGAGGTTTGAGCTGGTTTGGAGAAGAGAGAGGGACAGAGAGAGATCTCTAGATGAGATTGGAGAGGTTCAGAGTGGGGGTAGCCACACAGCTCACTGTGGAGGCTTGACCTGATGTGGAGAGAGAGAGAGAGACAGAGAGGGGTAGAGATGTCTAGATCAGATTGGGAGGTTGACCACACTGCCCACTGGAGGATTGAGCTGGTTTGGAGAGACGAGAGGGACAGAGAAAGACAGATCTCTAGATGAGATTGGAGAGGTTCAGAGTGGGGGTAGCCACACAGCTCACTGTTGAGGCTTGACCTGATGTGGAGAGAGAGGGAGAGACAGAGAGGGGTAGAGATCTCTAGATCAGATTGGGAGGTTGACCACACTGCCCACTGGAGGATTGAGCTGGTTTGGAGAGGCGAGAGGGACAGAGAGAGACAGATCTCTAGATGAGATGGGAGGGGTTCAGAGTGGGGGTAGCCACACAGCTCACTGTGGAGGCTTGACCTGATGTGGAGAGAGAGAGGGGTAGAGATCTCTAGATGAGATTGGGAGGTTGACCATACTGCTCACTGGATGTTTGAGCTGGTTTGGAGAAGAGAGAGGGACAGAGAGAGACAGATCTCTAGATGAGATGGGAGAGGTTCAGAGTGGAGGTGGCCACAGCTCACTAGAGGCTTGAGAGCTGATTGGAGAGAGGGGGTAGAGATCTCTAGATCAGATTGGGAGGTTGACCACACTGCTCACTGGAGGATTGAGCTGGTTTGGAGAGGAGACAGCGAGAGAGACAGAGCTCTAGATGAGATTGGAGAGGTTCAGAGTGGGGGTAGCCACACAGCTCACTGTGGAGGCTTGACCTGATGTGGAGAGAGAGAGAGACAGAGAGGGGTAGAGATGTCTAGATCAGATGGGGAGGTTGACCACACTGCTCACTGGATGTTTGAGCTGGTTTGGAGAGGAGAGAGGGATAGAGAGAGACAGATCTCTAGATGAGATTGGAGGGGTTCAGAATGGAGGTGGCCACAGCTCACTAGAGGCTTGAGAGCTGGTTGGAGAGAGGGGGTAGAGATCTCTAGATGAGATGGGAGGTTGACCACACTGCTCACTGGAGGATTGAGCTGGTTTGGAGAGGAGACAGCGAGAGAGACAGAGCTCTAGATGAGATTGGAGAGGTTCAGAGTGGGGGTAGCCACACAGCTCACTGTTGAGGCTTGACCTGATGTGGAGAGAGAGGGAGAGACAGAGAGGGGTAGAGATCTCTAGATCAGATTGGGAGGTTGACCACACTGCCCACTGGAGGATTGAGCTGGTTTGGAGAGGCGAGAGGGACAGAGAGAGACAGATCTCTAGATGAGATGGGAGGGGTTCAGAGTGGGGGTAGCCACACAGCTCACTGTGGAGGCTTGACCTGATGTGGAGAGAGAGAGGGGTAGAGATCTCTAGATGAGATTGGGAGGTTGACCATACTGCTCACTGGATGTTTGAGCTGGTTTGGAGAAGAGAGAGGGACAGAGAGAGACAGATCTCTAGATGAGATGGGAGAGGTTCAGAGTGGAGGTGGCCACAGCTCACTAGAGGCTTGAGAGCTGATTGGAGAGAGGGGGTAGAGATCTCTAGATCAGATTGGGAGGTTGACCACACTGCTCACTGGAGGATTGAGCTGGTTTGGAGAGGAGACAGCGAGAGAGACAGAGCTCTAGATGAGATTGGAGAGGTTCAGAGTGGGGGTAGCCACACAGCTCACTGTGGAGGCTTGACCTGATGTGGAGAGAGAGAGAGACAGAGAGGGGTAGAGATCTCTAGATCAGATTGGGAGGTTGACCACATTGCTCACTGGACGCTTGAGCTGGTTTGGAGAGGAGAGAGGGATAGAGAGAGACAGATCTCTAGATGAGATTGGAGGGGTTCAGAATGGAGGTGGCCACAGCTCACTAGAGGCTTGAGAGCTGGTTGGAGAGAGGGGTAGACAGATTGGGAGGTTGACCACACTGCCCACTGGAGGATTGAGCTGGTTTGGAGAGGACACAGCGAGAGAGACAGCGAGAGCGAGCGGTGTAGCGAGCGGCAAACTTTTAAACTAGCGACGCCCGGAGCCTCCCCGAGCCCCCCAGGACCGCGTCACGACCCCAGCGCCTCCCGACACAAACAACAATTCCAAAGCTCAACTGGGATGCCGGCGAAAGTGCCCGGCGGTTACCCACCGCATCGCCACCACCACCACAACACGGGAACTTTGCCCACCACCCCCATCCCCCCCACCAAAGCGTTTCGGGCAACAGAGCAAGCGGCGCAGGGCGACGGTCAAAGTTTCGTTTCCGAAATATTTTACCGCCACCACCACAGCCACCGCCACCGCCACAGCCACAGCCACCGCCACAGCCACAGCCACCGCCACAGCCACAGCCACCGCCACAGCCACAGCCACAGCCACCGCCACCGCCACAGCCACCGCCACAGCCACCGCCACAGCCACCGCCACAGCCACCGCCACAGCCACCGCCACAGCCACCACCACAGCCACAGCCACCGCCACCGCCACCGCCACAGCCACCGCCACAGCCACCACCACAGCCACCGCCACCACCACCACCGCCACAGCCACCACCACAGCCACCGCCACCACCACCGCCACAGCCACCACCACAGCCACCACCACCACCGCCACAGCCACCGCCACAGTCACAGCCACAGCTACAGCCACCGCCACAGCCACAGCCACCGCACGAATGCGGTAAAGGGGGGGGAGGGCGGTGTTCCGACACTTTGCGTGGCCTTGACGTGCACCCAGCCTGGCACAAAGCTCCGCGGTGACGTCACCGCCGTCGCCGCCGCAGCTTAGTGACGAATGGCGCTTGTTGTTGTTGATGTGCGTGCTAACAGCACTTGCCCAAACAGTCCGTGAAGGCTTATACGGGTGGAGGGGATCTTTGTCCGTGCACACACACACACGCACACACACAAGACAAAGATCCCCCGTATAGCCTTAACAGACTGTAGGGGCAAGTGCTGTTAGCGAGCACCTATGAAGGCCGGTAACGGTACACGAGGGGGTGGGTGGCCAGCACCACGCCCGACCGCCTTTGTCTCCCTAGTGGCAATGTTTACACACCGCACCAGGTACTCATTTGAGGCTGAGTCGACCTAGGGGAGGCCCGGGACCGGTTCAGAAAATCGTCACTGGTGTTGGCCGTGAGCGGGAATCGAACCCGGGTCGCCGGGTTCATAGCGCAGCGCGCTAACCGCTACACTATCGCTCCCCCCAACACACACACGCACACACACGCACAGGCACGCACACACACACACGCACACACACACGCGCACGCACACGCACAGGCACGCACAAGTCATGACCGCAATAATCCACCGGTAACAGCCAGGGAACAGTCCAGAAAATCTGGTCAACATCCACGCAGCGGTCAAACCACGAAACGCGCCCCACGCCTCATTACACGGTGCTGTGACGCTCATTAGCGGGGAGGGATTCCGCAGTGAATAGACCAGGGCTGATGATGATGGTGGTGGTGTCTAGGGGTG